GACTCGGACCAGCCCCGCTAAGACCAAATGCTAGACCCATAACCGACTTGTGTCGGATATACCAGGTCCCGAGTCGGGTCTATGTCCATGGCCACCCCTAGGTCGAAATGATGCAGTAGTGAGAGAATAAGTACATGGAAAGATAAAATAAAATGATCTTCTTCTCCCTCGTGAGGATACTGTCTATTGGAACCCAAGCAAGGAGGATTTATAAGAATGTATTTTTCGGAGATGCAACCTCTTGAGTTCATAGAACAACCTCAAAGAAGATAAAATATAAAGGGAGGTTTCTATAAGGTTGCAACCTTAAACAATCCAATTAAGGCGTACCACTAAATTTTATCATAGCATGTAATTTTGTTGTACAAAATTCTTAGGATTATCTTAAAATCTATTTTCATATCTAATTAGAAAAGCTTAAACTACAAAAATGGTTAAAATCAAAGAGCTCTATAAACATATGAAAATCTTCAAAATGGACAGTCTAGATAATGTATTGCAAGATGCATTATTTCTGATACTCAAAATTTTTTTTTTTATATATTCATACATCTCGATATCGAGATAATCAAATAGAGGGTTTTTCAACGTTAAAACAACTTTTCCGATAGATTTTTGAAGTACATATGTAATTCTACATTTTAAAGGTGCAACCTTACATAAACTGTTCCCTTATTTGCAATAACCATGTGCCTGAAAAAAAATAAAATCCCAAGATTGAACAACGACCCTCCAATATTTAAACAAAGAAAAAAGCATTGCAAAACTCAAAATCCAACTTTCGTTCTCAAATAATTTTTTGGTGATTCTTAAATAGACCCAAAAATTTCAGATAAAAAGTCCTCTATTGCACGAGGGAGTAAGTGTACCTCATGGGAGCATGGAGCATGCTGCACGCGCTGCAAAAACAAGAGAGCAAGTGTATGCCCGCCGCCTTACGCATCTGATTACTCTACTCCATTCCATTGCCAACCCGGATTCAAATGGATTGAAAGATCAATTTATTTGGAACAATCAAATTAAAGAGGTTTTCTTATTTATATTTTATTTTGAAATGATCTCCCCCGATATGCATGTTACATACACTAGATCGGGTCATCATCTTGAAATGAATACGGTTAATTTTTATTTAGAATTATGCACGTACGGACACAAAAACAAAAGGGAGAATACAAAAAGCTCCATTTTTGTCGATACTGCATGAAGGCCAGTCGACTCACATCTTTTTTATTTTCCATGTTACCAACATCGTTTTTACTTTTATTTTTTTTCTCACTTTGGTGCTGGTCCAATATCCCAAACCTTAGACGGTTAGTCCAGTAAGCGGTCAGAGGTCTAAGAACACGAACAACAGGCACTAGGGATTAAAACTACCTGTCTAAAGTCCAGAACCTCAAACAACTTAAACCTAGCAAGGTCCGATATTTTGAAACATTAGACTGGCCAAAACCTCAAGAAAAAAAAAAAGAAAAACCTTCCAATTAATTAACTTGTCCTTGAGATACATTGATGTGAATAAAAAAAGATTTTAAGTCTTAAAATTAGTGCATCTTGTAATGTATTATCCAAACAATCCATTTTAAAAATTTTCAAATGTTTATAAACCTATTTAATCTGTACCATTTTTGACATTATAACTTTCATGACTATGGGTAGAAATAAATTTTCAGAGTTAACATAAGAATATCTAGTACCATAACTACATCTTTTGGTAGGGTTCAAAAATGCGACTTACTTTGATTGTTTAAGTTTGACACCTTATGGTAAATAAAAAAAAGTTGATTACATACAGCACACGTACAGCTCTTATTAGAAGGTGCGTCGGTTCAAGCTGAAAGCTAAAAAAGAGCAATGGTGAGCCCTATCGGACATAGTTCGAAATTGTGAGAAAAAATATGACGACTTATAATGTCAATAAGGACTTGACACTCGATAGAAATAAATAACAAACCAGGATTCATGTAGCCAACTCTAAATAATCGGAAAAAAACTCTAATCAAATATTACATACTCAACAGCCAACACAAATACTTGTAGGTCAAAAGACTTGAGAATAATGGAATCCTATCAAAACCAGCACAACTCAGCCTTACCACGCAACTTATGTTTCGATTTTTACCAAAAAAAAAATCAAGTGGAGAAGACCCAGCTGGCCGAGTTTGTCGAATTTCCTAGTTCAAACCTAGTATCTGTAGGGCACATGCTCAATCTCAAATCTGCTCTCTCTCTCTCTCTCTTCTCTCTTTCTCTCTTCTCTCGCTCTATTTTTGGGGTTCCTTCTCTTGTCTATTGTTTTGTCTTCTTTTTCTTCATTGGGCAACTCAGAAGCTTACCCCAAATCATAATGCTAGATACTGATTTGGCTGTACAGTGGGGAATATCCTCTTATGTATGAGGTGAAATCAAGAGGAAGCAACAATATCTCAGATTAACAAGCAGGTAAGATTTTTTGCAAAAACACTTGAAAATCTTCATTCCCCGTTTATGGTTTTAATGGGGTCCATTGGTTTGAACTACAATGATGTCCGGGCATTTTCATAGGCCGGAGTGCCTCCATGTGCTAAAGTTTCCCATTAGTCGTTTTTATAGAAAGAAAAAGGAGGGGAGATATAAGAAGGATCAATGGAAACACAATCGTCGCAGACTAAATGGCAAGAGTTCTTGTCCGGTCATGCTTCATAGAACATGGCAACATAGGCCAAAGTCTTGCACATTTGACAGAGTGACACACTACAAATGTGTATAGAATGGACAAAGATGAAACCAAAGGCATGGAAACCCGATCACTCAATGTTGGCTGTGTAAATTCTGGGTGCGGTGCGGTCTAATGAAGCCCATAGTTTCAATAAAAATGGAATTAAGTAGATATGAGTATAAAAAAGACGTCAATTTGCTTGTCCTGAGTATACAATACATAATTTAGCCAAACAATGTTTGTCGAGCCAATGTTTCTAACCTCACAAGCTCAAACACATGAACAATGATTCGAGAGCCAAAATGGGAGCTATCAATGGAGAGAAATACATGGCCATGAAGAACAACCATGTTACAATAGAGGATTCAGCAATAAATCATCCCACAAGAGGCACTTTTTTTTTACCAAATGTGATTGAGAGAAAAATCTCATCCCGGTAACAAGTTGCTGGGGTTTGGCTTTAGAGAAATTGCAAATGGCAGAGGACCAACGCTCTGTCCTCCATCGCAAAATCCATAAGAATACCACTGCACACACCAATGTCAGTTCTAGATTGCCAATAGAAGCTGTTGAATTTTAGTTTACATTGTACTTGACGCTGGCCCATTTCATCAAATTTAAAGTCTACCATTGGACATATTCATTGCATGCATCTAAACCTACAATTCCTTACAAGATCTACTGCCCCAGTGACCTTAAATACCTCAATAGCTAACCTCGGACAATGATGAGCTAGAGCACTTAACCTCCAAAGGAAAAAACTTTCAGATCGGAGAAAACTGAGACCAGCTTAGTAACAATGTGTCGGACATCTCAAGCAACATGCATCTGCAGTTCTGAACTAATTGAGTCCAACTCTACAATAAGATTGATCAGAAAACTCTGGCAACCTTGACTCACTGTAGCAGAATCTCCCAATAAATGATGGGCATGTTAGAGATCTAGCACCTCAATTGTGTAAATGACCCATAGGTAAAGCCGAGGACTCTCCATACCAAACGTGCTAGTGACAAAAGCCCAGGAAATCCCAAGTGAGAAATTTCCATGTCGAACCTAGTACAAAATTTACTCATCCATGCCTGCCCTTTGCAATGAAGGGAACATCTAGATAACCTGTCATGCACCTGAACTCCTTGATATTCATGCCTTTGAGATTCATAAAAGACATAGGCTCCAACCTACTATGCCTTTGAGCCACTCAAAACCATCGGCAATGCTAGCACTAGGTCTCCCATTACTAAGCCCACTAAGAACCTGATACCATCCTTTCACACACCGCCAATGCTGCTCTTGGTTTTAAATTCTGCGTTAAACCTTCTCGATCTTAAACACACTAAAAATCAATCAAGACCGCAATTGATAGCTGATAGCAGAACACCTCATTCCAAACACAATCCAAATCCTCCCTAAACTTAAAATGCAATATGCTTTATAAGGCCGTTTCAGATTCCTCGGTTTTCTAATATAAAAACCACCACCTTCAGTATATGCACATCTGACCACTACCTTCAGTATATGCACATCTGACCACCTGCCCAGATGGAATTTGGGCTCCACGCTGCTCACCTGGTGCAAGAACTTGATCTAGATCTACTCACTGCTACTCATCCAGAAGAACAATCTTCTCTTACACCTACTGACAAATGGGTCCAAAAAATTTTCTCCAGGCTTTCCAATAAAGGGAAAGACCAAATTCCACAGAAGAGACTGAAACCATTCTACTTGTACTTACAAGCCAATCAATCCAACTCAAGCCTCACTACTGCAACCACTACTAGATCACTCTTCCTCATATAGATTGTAATACCCAAAGTCACATCAGAGGATTGAAAACACAGTACAACCCCCTTCAACCAAACTTACATCAAACGCTTAAACTAATCAGACAGGGAAGTAATTCTCTAGAAACAGAAGTAGCATCATTACACAATGCAGTGTTATCTAGACCAACACTTTTCATACCATTTTTAGCCAAAAGGCAAATGGAATTACTGGATTCTTCATTCATTCCTAAATTAACAAGGCAAACTCAAAATGCCATTCATCATGCCAATCAATGCACATTAAAATGAGATGATACACTTTTGTCAAATTCCTTTGCCCAGCAAGCAACCAAGAGTTAAAGTTTCAAGAAGAACTCTAAACGGAATTAAACAATCCATGCATCATCGTCTCATTTCCATGACCTCCAATAAGCATCTAGACTAAACAGAAGTACACAATTCATGGATGAATATCTCACAGCATTCTGTTGATGGTGAAAATTGAAAAAGCTCTACAGTCTCAACACTTTTTCCAATCCATGAAGGACCAATGTCAGACATATGATATATTCCTTTGGTATGCTTACTGAATTACACCATTCTTATGGGGGATATTAAAAGCAAAAAAAACAATGCAGCAGACATGTCCAGGCACACAATCACAGTAATGTTCAATTCCAATCATGAAATGAACATCTGAAGACCATGAAGGAATATAAATTGAATTTTAAATTATCACCTCCAACTACATAACAGGATAAACTCTGCAGCTTATTACTCGTACAAAGCTCATCATTCCCGTGCTAGTTCACCCCCACAGAGCCACTATAACTTCCCTCCCATCTGTCATCCCAGACAACTATAGAAATTAGAATAGCTACTACACACTGATTGTTTAAAAAGGAAGATCCTCAAACCTCCCACTAGACATCACACAAAAAAGAACATTAACTAAATTATCATTCTGTATCTCAAAATAAAGAAGGGTACCCGACCCAGCCCACCCAAAATAAAACAATGAAAACAGAAACAAAATCCCAAATCAAAACACGATCTAAATGGAAATGTGAAAAAGGAGATGTGACCCAGCACATAATTTAAACAAAGATCAAAATGAAACCTTCACCGATTTGAATTCAGGATGGAGCAAACCAAGCTCATCTTTGACCTCAAGAGGATCACTCGTATCATTTCGAATCCTCCTGACTGCCCTGCTCGAAAGGCTCTTGTGCATAAACCCATACATTTGAAGGATCTGATTATCCCCAAAATTGAAGGCCCTGTCCATTTGTTTCAGGCACTTTTCAACTGAGTAATCCCCAAATTTCCCACAAGGCTTGCACCCCACAAAGTGGGTAACCAAAGGCCATCGATGATCACCCAAACCTGGATGATAATTCTCTATCATCTCCTCATACCTATCAACCAAAATTCCCCAATACCCGTGAAGATAATAAGCACTCTCCAAATAAACCTTGTCACCCCATTTCTCTCTCTGCGTAATCAGAAGATAAACCATGGCCGACTGGTCATCAGCTTCAAATTCTGGCCTTCCTCGAAGGGTTCGAGTCAAAAGTTTACCAGCGTCCATTCTGATCTTGCCCTTTGGCCCCATCGGTGCCCAAGCATCAAGCAAATCAAGCGCCCATTGCCCATTTCTTAACAGGAAGCTCCCTGTGTTCAAACCAATCCAGTTCTTTTGATCATAAACCATTTCATTCCATCCATGCATAACCAAATTATGGTCTTTGTACCTCTCCCATGGCACCTCGAATGCCATATCAGTGAACATGGCATCACTATCCATCCACCATAGGAACTCAACCTCTGGGTGGGTGAGTAAAAGCTTTCGAATCAATGGAAGTTTTGCCCAAAAACCAGCCATCTCAGCATCAAGAAGAGCCATGTTATAGAATATCTCGATCCCATGAAGCCTACAATAATCAATCTTGTTCTTGATCGATTTCAACAAATAATGATCACCTACTGGATTTTCGCAAGCTTTAGGGGCGGACCCTGTAACAAGTAGAACCCTAGGTTTGTTGGGTGTAATGAAATTGGGAAAAGATGGGTTTTCTTCGAGCCATTGAGCTCTCTGAGAATCCCAATCTGAGATCTTGGGTCCGAGAGAATAGGGCTTGTTTGGATCAGGGATCTCTTCTGGTTCATTGTCAATTAAGAGGCTCTGCAACTTCTCTGAATCAGGCTTGGCCTCAACCAAAACCCTGTGAGGCTGAGATCGCTTAGAAAATGAAAGATGGCTTCGAATCTCATTGAAGTCTTGCTCAGGTGTTCCAAACTTTCCAGCTCCAATGGTGCCCCGAAGAACCAGAACAGTTATAAAGAGACATAGTAAAGTTACCTTGCCATGACGAAGAGCTCTCTGGATCTGGCGCATTCGCCGAGCTCCAATGCAACACTCCAGCATCTTTAAAGCTGAAATCTGCGTTCTGATCCGCCTAAGAGGAAGATGATTCCAGGGTTAAGGTTTGCAGAGACATTGCAGAGACCAAAGGAAATGAGATGATTCGATAATACTAGGTTTAGGATTTTGCAGAGAAACGGAAAGATGCTACAAGGGAAAACCCCAGACTTCAGCTGAAACAATGCTACTATGGTTTGCGATAGCTCGTGCTGTGAAATGATTTTGCAGATGAGGTTTACAAGGGAAATGCCCGAGATACAGATGAGATACCATGAATTTAAGCAATTGCAATGCACGACGATTCCAGTCCTAGGATTTGCAGAGAAATGGCTCGAATTTATAGATAAAAACGCTAGATTTCACTAGAACGGCTCAAATGAGAGATGATTTTAGGGTTAGAGTTTGAGGGGGGAGATAGATCGCGTTTGCAGAGAAGAAAACCCCTGATATTCAGCAACGGCCACCATTTTTAGGAGGTATAAAATTGACAGGAGAAAGGGTTCATTTACACTGAAATTAGGGTTTTTAATATTTGAATTTTTTGAGCATCAGACCCGAATTTTAGGGGAAGAAGAGAAGCTTGCCCGAACATGGCACATGGAAAATGCTGGATTTTTTTCGATATAATAGTATTTCATAAAGATTGGGTTAATGACGTCATCCGCATGTGATTATTTGGTGTTTGTTATAGAGAGGAGGACGAAAACGCCCTTTATCATTTTCCTAAATGCCCTCAATAACCTACACGTAATCTAACACATAGTAAGTAGTGACCCTTATGTTCGCATGTGGGGTACCATTGGACCGGACTCAAATCGGGACTTGTTGGGTACATCCGATGCAGGTCCGGATATAGGTTTAAAAATCTGATCCGACAGGTCAGATCTTGGTTTAAGAATACTATTTAATTTTGGGTTCAGTTTCGGTGGGATCCGACTTGTATCTGTAAATGTTTGGGAGTAAAAAATACTTCAACTCTTAATTGTTTGGATGTATTAAAGATGATATGCAATAAGAACTCGCAGTTATCTCTAGCTATTAAATAATTTAGAAAGTTTGAAATTTAATGACGGGTGATGGTGATTTTATTGTTAATAATATATGTATTTTATTGTAAAAAAAATAACCTAAAAAAAAAGAATATGAAGCTCAAAGTGAGGGTGGGCTCGGTGGCAAGGGATATGATTAGACCCGGGACTTAATGGGTACCAATATGAGTCCAACTTTTGAACATGAAGGATCGGATCCGAATCCAAAATTCGAACCCAAGTGCTATTCAAGTCTGGATCCAAATCCAGCCAAACCCGACCCATTGCTACCCCTTTGGGACATAAATAAAAAGCTGAGAATTATTTGAAAAATGGGGGAGCCAATTCGAAATCTTTAATAGACTTGCATGGTATGCCTACTTCAAATTGAGGATAACTTGTATTGCCTGGTGTTTTAAAATCAGGATTAGTGGGGTATTACCCACAAATTTGTATCTCATCTGTGGAGTGGTTCAGATTTCATCAACGCCGGTTCAAATCAATGATCCAAAAATATTGAAAAAAATATAAAATATTTGATGAGTGGGATATACGTTAAGAAAATTACGTAATTCAAATCGACATAGAAGTGTCTTTTAACACAAAGATGAGGTTACTGTTTGTTATATTATTATGTCGGTTCATTACGTGTTACGCGTCTATTGCACGCATACAAATAAAAGGCCGACGTAGAAAAGAGGCGCTTCAATGACTCTCAGCCTTTGGATCAAATCCATGAAAAATCGGTCTTTTGAATCGTACCGTCCGTTCGGAGATACAGAATCCAGCTGTGAAGTTGAAGGTTGTGGACGACATGATCTTCGCTTTTCATTCTCATTTGGGTTTGGGACTGGTAATAGAGGACTTAAGAGAAATTTACAGTCTAATTATAGATTTATGTTGCGAATCACTGAACGTCAGATTGGTAGATAGACGGTCTAACACGGTCCAATGTCTCCGATGGTACCTCGAGGTAGCGAAATTACTGCATCTTTGATGTACTGGGATGATTCATCGTTTCTATAGAATTAATCCTAATAATTAAGCATTGTTGTTTGTTAGTGGCTATAATAAAGTTATTTGAGAAAACTTCATAGGTAGAAAAACTTAAAAACGGAAAATTTCATATGAACTCCCCAAAAAAATTACTTTTTTTTCAAAAATAAATCTCAATGTTTTTTTTAAAAAAATCTCAATTTTTTTTAGGGTGCAGTTTTTATAAGGTTGCAATCTTATTTATAGAAATAAAGTTGTGATACTCAGTACCATCCATTTTATTTAGATGGTGTAGATTTGATACATTTTTAAGATTTCGTCAATATATGACATATCTTTTAAGATAGTGTTCAATTCATAATATCCAAATAAAATGGACCTGTATATAATACTGCAACTTTATTTTTACAAATAAGATTGCAACTTTATATAAACTTTCTCCTCTGTGCGACGTTCGTTTTTAGAAGTATAGGCCATCCAACCCCTCCGGACTTTCCTCCTCTTTGTTTGCTATCTTTACCGCAACAACTTTTTTTTGGGTGAGTTTTAAATTTTTTGGGTTAAGTAAAAACTTTTTTAAACAAAAAATGCAATTTTTTCTCAAGCATCTCTCTTGTTTCAAAAATATTTTTTCAAGGATTATCTATAAAGAGACCATTTACCTTTTGTATAAGGAGGGTCACGTCTACTCCTACTCATTAAATATCAAATTACATGGCTTGAGGTGAATATGATAAATTTTTTTTTGAAACTTTGTGTCTAATCAATGATACTCTTATAACCACTTATTTTGAAATCTAATAGACAAAAATTATTAAGACCTCATTGTACAAAAAGTAAATAGTTTCCTTACAGACAATCCAAATTCTTTAAGGCAATTAGTGAGGTAAAAATAAAGAAGATGAAAGGTATGAAGAGGGGGTGCGATGATATATATCATAAAAATTAATGCCCCATGATAGGAAAAATAAGGTAGGAGTTATCATGAAACTAAATAATTTTTTTTAAGGGCCCATTTGAAATTTTTCCCAAAACCAACTAAAAATTGCTGAAAATATTAAATAACTAGATAATATATCATGCATAACATAAGATATGTAAAGAAAAACTACCAAAATAATATTATCTATATTAGTTTTGGATAAAAGAGTCTATTCTGCATTAAATAAATCATCATTTAAACAAACCCTTAAAATTCATTTCCATAGCACTTCAAAGACCATCCAAAATAGCATACTATTGACTTGTGGCCCATAGATAATATCATGCATAATGTAAGATATGTTAAAAAGACTACCAAAATAATACTATCTATATTAATTTTGGATAACAGAATTTATTCTACATAAAATAAATCATCATATGAATAAACTTAGAGTTCATTTCCATAGCAATTCAGAGACCATCCAAAATAGCATACTATTGATTTGTGGCTCATGTCGAATCTTCTCAACTTTTGAGGTAAGGGACTCCTTTTAATCCACCACTGTTATGCAAAACTTATCGCATTCATGGCTTGAGGAAAGATGCGCTCCGCTCTAAATGTGGTTTTGCTCGTGATTATCTTGTGACTCGTTTAAATATGGGAAAAGTTTAAATCAATTATTAATTTTATAGCATAAAAATAAAACATATTTTAAAAAAAGTAATGATCCTATGATACCCTCCCTCACCCATGTGTGTAGGACTCCAAATGATTACTATTAAATTTGGTCAGATCTTTAATCTCAAAAGATTACCATTAAATTTTACAAAGATCTCTAAAAAAGTTATTACATGGGCGTGAGACTTGACTTTTTTTAAATATATCTATCAAATTTAATGGTGATCTTTTGGAGTCCTACACACATGAGTGTGAGAGGGTCTCACAAAGTCATTTCCCTTTTAAAAATCCAACAAAAAAATTGTCTTTGGAAAACCTCCTAATGATTTGGATCAGCCACGAGATGTACAGAACAAAAAAATATTCCAAGTTTGATAAATAATGTATTTTAGAACACATTATCTAAAACATCCATTTTTTAGATTTTCAAACACCAGTAGATCGGTTCGATCTGCACCACTTTCAAAGCTTTAAGTTTCACAGGCGAAATAGATTTTTAGTGCACCATAGAGATGCGAAATAGATTTTTAGTGCACCATAGAGATTCCTCGGATACTAAATTTTACATTAGGGTATGACGGTGTCCTATTGTTTAAAATTGACACCTTATGTACCACACCCAATAGATATTCAAAAAAATAATGGTGCGGTTTGTATAGAGCTTAGGCTCTAAACAATCAAATTAGAGCCTACCTTCAAATAATATTGAAAAATATGGTTTCAATACTGGAAATCTTTTTGGTAGCCTTAAACTATATTTTTATCTTTATTTATAAAGTTTAAAACTCAAAAAATAGTGTAGATTGAGAGATCTATGAAAACTTGAAAATCTTAAAAATTGACGGTCCAAAAATGCGCTACAAAAGTTGAAATCTATTTTTTTTTTCATGTCTATGCATCTTGATGTCGAGATGATCAATTTGAGGATATTTGAGCATCGAAACAACATCTTCTGGTGAAATTTTTGAGGTAGGCTCGAATTTGATTGTTTAGAACCTCAGCTCTATATAAACTTTTCTCAAAAAAGAAACATTAAAAAAAATAGATATTCAAAAAAATAGGAGCGCATATATTATGCACCTACGGGAGCACATTGTGAGCAGATTGTACATCTATTTCCTCGCTCAAACCTATTTAGAAGGATTTTTTAGTCAAAAATTTTAGGAACCACATAAATTACTAGAAGACATTTTTCAAAAGAAAAAATTTAATTTTAATTTTTGTGTCACTTATATCTAACCCTTCAAAACTTGGACGGTTTCTATTCAATCTCGATGCATTAGTTTTTTTTTTAACATAGAGAGTTTATTTTGGACTTATTTTTTCTAAGATTATTGTATGGGTCGTAGAAATTACATCGCTAAATTTTAAGAACTGAATGATATCTGTGGCACATATTTTACTCAATGGAATAAATGGATAGTATACTCCCAAGGGAGTAGGAAATCTTTTGCCAAAAAATAAAACAAATCCTTCCCATGTTATAAGGGGAAACCCGGTTGGAACGCCCATTTTGAACAAGTTACTTAAAAAATTGGAAATTAAGCGTAAGAATTTATTTTTTAATTAAAACAAGGAAAAAGTTTATATAGGGTGTCAACGTTATATTGTACACATAAGGTGCACCTCAAAACTCATTGAAAAAAGGTTCTTTCATTATTAGAAAACCCTCCAATTGATCATCTCCACTTAGATATGTATGAAAATGAAAGAAAAATTGAATTTCAAATATTCATAATAGTACATCTTGTAACATATTATCTAAACCATCCATTATGAAGATATTTTAAGTGTTCATATATTTGCTAGATCTATAATATTTTTGGAGCTTTCAATTTCATAATAGGGTTAAAAATATAATTTAAGATCATAAAAATTTTGGCACCTCAAATACATCTTATAATGAGATTTTAGAGTGCACCTTACCGTGATTGTTTAGGGTTGACACCATATACAAACCTTACCCTTAAAACAATATCCTACATTTTATATTT